TATTTTCCCTGCTTTTGAAGGCAGTGATTTGGACTCTGGCAGGAACGATCCCCAAGGTCATTAGTGTATGAACTCTGAAAATAAACACTATGTCTTATTTGTATGTGCTTCATATTACCAACCCTAGGAATTTAGCACCCAGTTTATACATAGAGTATACCCTAAAAAGTACTGGAAAGAAATACAAATTTTAAAAAGATAGAAAGGAAGGGACAATTCAAATTCCCTGTGTTAATCTCCTGCTCTTAAAATTCCTCCAATTTTAATGTTTGTATTTATTAATTTAATCTGTATTTATTAATCTAGTCTATATTCATTGAAATTCTCTCTTCTTATGTTGACTTTAGCAGTTTTCAATCAAAGCAGAAAACCCAACTTTCCATTCACTAAGTCCTTTACAGATAAAAACTCTTTTAAATCATTTTTCCTAAAAGGCTTATTCCAATTATTAGCTAAAGTTTTCAAACGGGGTCAAGGTAAAAGTCCTGGGTTAGTTCTGCAACCAGAAATAAAACATACCTGAATCCTCATCCACATTTCTTGAAGCAAAGGCTACTGGGTTCACCAAGGTAAAAGCAGTTGTTTAGAGTGTCTGTTTCCTTTCTCTGACATCCTCTGGAATCAAACCTTAATTCTAAAATCCCTCTGTTTCTCTACAACTCAACTCACAAACTGACTTCTCATATTTTCCTTGGGTTGGAGGATTCTGATGAATAAATGTCAAGCCCTCCTAAATGTGTCCTAAGCTTAGTTTATTTGTTTAAGTTCCATTCCACTCCACCCCGCCATCATTTGCAGAGTGGGGACTAGGAATCTTAGCTGAAAGTTCTTGTCCCAGTGTTGTGTGAAGTCAGGCACTATGAACGTCTTGTCCTTCCTCATCAGATACAAGAGGCAACTGACACTTAACATCCGATGTTCAGTTATCAAAGAGCAAGCAAGAGGGGAGGGGAAAGTGGCACTGATGAATGACTGCAGCAACACAGTATTATTCAAATAATTCAGCACGCATTCTATAGGCTGGCCCTACACTCGAAAGAACACATTTGCTACTGATGACTTCAGAAATGACTCTATTTATCAACAAAACCCTGGGAACACTAGAGTGTCAATAGCAGTCTAAACTTAGAGATGTGGCAAAGAGATAGTTCTGCATGCCTGCTGCTACCATTGGCAAGATGAGTAATTATAATGATAGTGAAGTCAAAGAGCCGCTTTCTCTAGATAGGTAGGCAGGCAGGCAAGCAGGTAGAGAGAACTATAGACAGACAGGTAGACAGATAAACAAATAGATTCCAAAGCCAAAGCTATTAGCTTTGAGTAGGTCCCAACTCAGAGCGGTCCTACAGGAAACAGAACTGTCCCTTAGGGTTTCCAAGATTGGAACTTTAACAGGGGAGTCCTGGTGTGGAGCTGTAGGATAAAACACTGGACCGCAAGGTCATTTGAACAGCAAGCTCAGCTGTTCAAACCCACCAGCTGCTCCTCAGAAACCCTATACAGGGTTGCTCTGAGTCAGAACCCACTTGATGACATTTAACAACAACCTTTACAGAAACAGATCATCACCTCTTTCTCCCAATGGAGCAGTTGGTGGATTTGAACAAGCAACCTTCCAGTTAAGCTGTATTCTAAACTATTTTGCCATCAGGGCTCCTTGATAGATACCACCACTGTCATTGAGTCAATTCTGACTTATAGTGACCCCATGTAGAGTTCCTAAAGTTTCCAGAAAGAGAAAGCTTTCTCTTTATCCCATGGAGTGACTGATGAATTCGAACTGCTGACCTATGGGTTAGCAACCCAGTACTTAACCTACTGCACCCTCACAACTCCTTCCTTGTCAGATTTGTTATTGTTGTTAAGTGCTCTTGAATTAGTGCCATCACATAGTGACCCTGTATAGGATTTCCAAGGAGTGGCTGGCGGTTAAAAGGCCAGTGCTTATCCTACAGCATCACACCAGAACTCGTCCTTGATATTTAATAATAAATAAGAAACCAGTTGCTATCAAGTGGTCCCTGATTCATGGTGACATCATGGTGTCAAAGTAGAACTGTACTCAATAGGGTTTCAATTGCTGATTTTTTTTATTTTTATTTTTTTTAAGTATAAGGGTACATCACAAAGTATCACTACTAGGAGTCCAGTTTATACATGCATGGGCTTATTCTAAACAAAGCATGCTTAAACATGTCTCTGCAATCAATGGATGACTGCAGACATGTTCCCTCAGTAGAACACTCATCTTAGTCTCCTTAGGGTGCCCTCAGAAAAGATCCAATCAAAACAGTGACTTTTGAGGATCTTCTGAGCCAGTTAGCTTCAAAGCAGAGAAGATAACTCAGCATGTTATAGACACTGTATTTTGGAATTCCAAGGGATAATCTTGATTTCCATATTCGTCCGTCAGTTTGTTGTACTGTGGTGACTGCATGTTGCTGTGATTCTGGAGGCTATGCCACTGGTATTTTAAATACCAGCAGGGTCACCCATGGTGGACAGGTTTCAGGTGAGCTTCCAGATGAAGACAGACTAGGAAGAAGGAATAATGAACTACTTCTGAATATTTAGTCACTGAAAACCTTATGAATAGCACAGAAACACTGTCAGATATAGTGCTGGAAAATGAGCCCCTCAGTTTGGAAGTCACTCAAAATGCGACTGGGGAAGAGCTTCCTCCTCAAAGTAGAGTTGACCGTGATGACATGAAAGGAGTAAAGCCCTCGGGACCTTCATTTGTTGATGGGGCACAACTCAAAATGAAGAGAAACAGCTGTAAACATCCATTAGCAGTTGGAACATGGAATATATGAAGTGTGGATCTAGGAAAATTGGAAATTGTCAAAAAGGAAATGGAATGTGTAAACATTGATATCTTAGACAATAGTGAGCTGAAATGGATTGGTATGGCCTGGTATTGGCCATTTTGAATCTGACAACCACATGGTTTACTATGCCAGGAATGACAAATTGAAAGGAATGGTGTTGCATTCGTCATCAAAAAGAACATATCAAGATCTGTCATGAGCTGCAATACTGTCTGTGATAGGACAATATCCATGCACCTACAGAGAAGACCAGTTAATACCACTATTTTTTTCAAATTTACACACCAACCACTAAAGTCAGTGAGGATGAAATAGAATTCTACCAACTTCTTCAATCTGAAATTGATCAAACATGCAATCAAGATGTATTGATCATTACTGGTGATTGGAATGCAAAGGGTGGGGACAAAGAGGAAGGATCAGTAACTGGAAAATATGGCCTTGGTGACAGAAATGATGCTGGTGATCACATGATAGAATTCTATAAAACCAATGATTTGTTCATTTCAAATACCTTATTTAGACAGCTTAAGAGATGATTACACACCAGATGGAATACACAGAAATCAAACTGACTACATCTGTGGAAAAAGTGCACAGAACAGACCTCCACAACACACAACTCTCCAGTCTAATTGACAATTAAGAAACTATGCTCTAATACAGGGGTCAGAAACTACATCCCATTAACGATATTTTCAAGTAAAGTTTTGTTGTGATATAGCGGCACCCATTCAGTTATCTCTTGTCTATGGCTACTTCCCACATGGAGTCCTGGTTTGGTGCTGTGGGTTAATGCGCTAGACTGCAAGCTTGGTTTGAACCACAAGGTCAGCTGATCAAGCTCATCTGCCCCTCCTTGGAAACCCTATACAGGGTCGCTATGAGTCGGAACTAACTTGACAGCACTTAACAACAACAACATGGCTACTTTCCCACATCAATAACACAGTTGAGTGGTTGCAACAGAGATTGTGTGGCTCATAAAGCCTAAAACTTACAAAACAGGTTTTTCAATCCCTCCTCTATAGCCTTGTTGTTGTTATGTGCTGTGGAGTAGGTTCTAACTCATAGCGACCCTGTACAGGGTTTCCGAGGCTGTAAATCTTTATGGGAGCAGAAAGCCTCATCTTTCTCCCGTGGAACAGCTGGTAGTTTCAAACTGCTGACCTTGTGGTTCGCAGCCCAATTTGTAACCACTACGCTACCAGAGCTCCTTTTCTATAGCCTACCTAGACGATTTTAATAAGATCAGGACCAAATGGTGCCTCTTTCCTGTTGTACGGGTTGTTCATTACTCAACCCAAAAGACTGCAATTCACACAGATTCTGCAATGAATGGAATTGTACAGCATAGCAACTCAGGGAAGGATGAGTAGATGAGGAGGGTGACTTACAAAATTAGGCAGATCTAATAGAAAAAGTTCTGGCAATTTTTTTTCATGATCTCTTTGAATGTCATACACATTTAATAAACATGCCAATCCTAAACTTCATGTGTCTACCTAAGTTTCATTTGGATGGAGTATTCATGTCTTCAGACTGAATGGTCTCTGACTTTATAGTAAGACATTGTATTGGGCCTAATAGGATGAAAATGGTATCTTGGAAACACACAAGAGTAGCTGTCATTTACTGAGCATCTCTATCTGTCAGATATTGGAGTCAGCAGCTCTTAGGTAGGTTTCTAAGTTTGAAATGTTTCATTGGGATTGAAAACAAAATCTGTCTTGCAAAAAGTACATCTAGACAGTTCCTTTGAAGTGAGGATGGTGAGGTTTCATTTCTTATATTTAGGACATATTGCCAGAAAGGTCCAGTTTCTGGAGAAGAGCATCATGTTTCATAAAGTAAAGGGTCAGCCCCAAACCGGAAGACCCTCAAGAAGCTGTAGTAACACAGTAGCAGTAACAATGACTCCGACACGGGAATGACTGTGAGGATGGTATTGGACGTAGCAGTGTGTGGTTCTGTTGTGATAGGGTTGCCATGAGTTGGAGCCGACTTGACATCACCTCAACAACAGGAGTGTCAGTCAAGTACTGGAACCAGCAGCTTTGAGGTGGACTTTTAAGCTTTTCACTGGGCTTAGACAAACATAAGAAGTGATCATTTTCTTTGCAAGACATGAAAATGGACTTCTTTTGAAGCAAAGACTGGTGAACCTACTTCGTCTTTCACATCTTCAGAATCCGAGTCTTTGTCTCCCTCTTCATCACCATCGTCTTCAAAATCCTCTGGATGGGAAAAAGAGGTGAAATGGATTAGATATGGCTTTGGATTTGGTGTCTAATCACACAACGATTATTAGTTCTTCCTCTCCCCAAAAAGAGCTCCTTATGAAGGGCAGAATACTCCCATGTGCTTTACAGGTATTGGTAGATGTAAATGCTATGCACACATATACATGAAAGCACTGTTGCATGAAGTCTAAACTATTGTTCCGCATTGAATGCAGAATCATAGGGCACAACTGAATCCCACTCTGTGGGATTAAACCCATGTTTTAATCCCATCCAATCTACAAACATTTATCAAATGAACACTGCCACCATTTTGAGATTACATACATTTAAAAAAATGTATAGAAACTTAGATATCATCTTGCTTAATTCTAATTGTGTAATGAGAAACTTACTATTTTTTTTAAAGTGAAAAGAAAACATCTAGTGTAATTGTGGTAAAATAATGCCTTCTGGAAAATCTGCCCACTCTACATGGAGGATGAGGCCAAAAAGCACTAGGTGTTTTTGACAGCATGATCTTCTTGGAGACTGAATACACATGCTTTCCAAGATTCCAATATAAATAGCACAGTGTTGTAAATAGCAGGAGTTGTATTTCAATTCCATCCTTAGGGCAAATTAATTTCAAAACCAGTCAAGACAGTGGACAAACCAGATCACGGGACTGTGAATAGATTTTTTAATTACCTGAGACAACTATACAGGCATTCAATAGCTACCAGCAAAGTGGCAACAGTTAGTAATTAAGGACAAAGTAAATGGGCTTGGTATTTAAAAGAAGCTCTTTTTCATACATACTTTAATTAGTCTATTGGACAATCCTAGCTGACTTCTAAAACAACTGACTGTATTTTCATCCCGCTTTCCTGAAATATTACCAAATGCAAACATTCACATTAAAGCTTAGAATTATCTACTTACTTTACCTTCAGTTAGAACGTGTGGGAGCTCGGATGTGGATCCCTCAGGGGCAGGAAAGACACAGGCACTGCTGGCTGTGGGCAAGGGAAGGGAGCTTCTGGGATAGCACTGCCTCAGGATCTGAAGCCCCAGGGAGATGATGGGCTCCGTTCTCTTGTCATCCAGGCAGTTCTGGGGAAAGGGAAGAGCAGACTTGGAGATCTTTGCTGTAACAGTATTTCAGGTAACTAGTCACACACAGAAGGACCTCTGGTAGCATAGTGGTGACAAGTTGGGCTGCTAATATCAACATCAGCAGTTTGAACCTACCAGCTGTTCTGCAAGAGAAAAATGAGGCTTTCTGTTCCTGTAAAGATTTGCAGCCTTGGAAACTGAATCCAGGGTCACTACAAGTTGGAACCGACTCCACAGCACATAACCACCACCCCCCAGGGTAGTCAAGACCCTTAATCACCACTGAGCTGGTCTAATCTAGAACCAGGGTTTATGTTTCCCTTCCACAGCTCACATTAGAGTAGGATGGATTTCGTCTGAAAAGAAATGTTTAGGTTTTTAAGAGACGACATTGTCAAAGACAAGGAGGTGAGCATCTCCCTTCAGTGAGCCATATGTCACTGTGAATTATTTCCTGAATTAGGGAATGAGTTACTGAGTTGATAGAAGTCTTGTTTTTCTCTTTCAGCTGCAATCTTAAGAGACCAATATAAAGGTGAAAAGATGAAAAAGGCAAAATATGAAATGAGGAAAATAGACTAAGTGAATTCTAAGAAGGACATCATATCTGGTAAGGGTCAGAGAAAAAGAGGAAGACCCCCAGTGAGATGGATTGCAAAGTGCAAAGTGGCAGCATCAATGGGCTCAAGCGTGGCAACAATAGTGAGGTTGGCCCAGGATCGGGCAGTGTTCGTTCTGCTGTGCATAGGGTCATTACGAGTCGGTATCAACATAACAACAACAACAACAATTAAATAATAAGCCTCTCTTCAAAGTCTAGTGTTGAGCCCTCTTGTTCTTTGTCCACGTGGTTCAAGTTCACCAACCACTCCTTGGAAACCCTGTACAGGGTAACAATGGGTCAGAATGACTCAATGGCACTTAACAACAACAATAAAATTTCCCTAATAAACCCTCAGACTGTGACTACTATGTCTAAGTGCTGTGTAGCCATTGCAATGAATGGATTATCCAACTACTGAGTAGATGGCTGTGAGAGGGATGCTGGCTGCCACTTTTTGCACTGAGTATAAATGAAGACACAGGAAGGTGTGATGGCGGCTCAGAGATAATGTTCTGAGATTCTACCTTGGGAGAAACAGAGCAGAGCTGGACTAGGGTGAGGCAAGGGAGGCGTCCAGGGTGCAAAATGTAAGGAGGTGGTCACTCTCACACTCCTGTAAGTGCTGAGTACCGCTCTGCCTCATAAAATGGCAAGATTCCCAGGACTAGATCACTTCTGGATGGGTATCTCAGAATTTGAAAGATTTTTAGGTAAAAATTTTAGGCTGATTTGTATTTTCACATCAATTTCAGTAATACACTTCAACTTGGAAGGGATGATGCAATACGGGAGTGCTTACACATTAACTTTTATAATCAGCCACATTTAACTTTTTAAAAATGAAAATAGTAAGCACATAAATTCCATGACACATAGGCAATACAGAGACATGGTGAATAGTGCAGACCCTGGAATTCCACCGCCTGAATTCAAATCTTACCAAAGGCTACTAAATACAAAACCTTGGTATGTTACCATAACTCTATGTCTCCGTTTCTTCATCTGTAAACTGGAGATAATAACAGAACCTCATCAAGTTGCAATATGAGCTAAATGAACTAATGGGAGCAAAGTAAATGTGTACCGGTGGGATTTCCCTAGACATCTTTGTTTTTGTTGTTGTTGTTAAGTACCGTGGAGTCGGTTCCGACTCATAGTGACCCTGTACAGGGTTTCTGAGACTGTAAATCTTTATGGGAGCAGAAAGCCTCATTTTTCTCCCATGGAATGGCTAACAGTTTCAAACTGCCAACCTTGAGGTTAGCAGCCCGATTCATAACCACTACGCTACCAGAGCTCCTTAGACATCATTAGATTCCTAAAATTTAATAAGTGTCTGAAAACAGATCCTGAGAGGACATTACTCCCCAGAGAAGAGTTCTACTAGTGAACCTCCCAATAACAAATTGGTGCATTCTAATGGAACAGGAGTTAGACTAAGAGTCCAAAGTCTTGGATTTAAGTTCCAGTTCTGTTTTGAATGATCCAAAGACTTCAGTATCACCTGAACTCAAGCAAGCAGTGTGTTAGTTCCTCCCCTTGTACACTTAACGCTTCCCTCCTTACATTGGTTAAGTGCCATCGAGTCTTTTCTGCAGGAACAGCTGGTGGTTTGAACCACCAATCTTGTTGTTTGCAGTCCAGTTCCTTTGAATAATTTCCTATCTATATGGCAGTAAGAAGGGTTCTCTAAGGACATAAACCATATCATGTCACTCCATTGCCTCAAACTAGATCGAAAAAGAAATCCCTTTTCATGGCCTAAAATTTCTACGTGATCTATCCTTTAGGTCTCCAACTCATACATTCCCCCTACTTAAAATCTGATGGAAATAAAATCCAGATGCCTTAAGGACCCTATGCTTAGTTTGCACCCACGCCTTGGGTTCAGCTCATTCCTTCACCCCTCTTTCTCTTCTGCATCTTCCATACTTTCTCAAGCTCCTCCCATCTCTCACCTTACCCCTACGTGTGTTGGAGTAGAACTGTGCTGCTTAGGGTTTTCAATGGAACATTTTTCAGAATTCGATTTCTAGGCCTTTCTTCCCAAATGCCTCGGAGTAGACTGCAGCCTTCGACCTTTCAGCTGCCAGTTGAATGTGTTAATCCATTATCGTACCCAGGACTCTACTACCTACATTATGGCCTTGGCATTTTCTTTTCTTTGTCTCTGACGGTTTTCATGTCATTGGTTTGATCTGGTCTTTCAAGTTCCCAAGTGATGCTGAAGCAACACAGTGAGACCGTCACAGAGGAAAGATACTACGTGAAATGAAGACAGAGGCACAGATCGGAGTCACGCTGCCACAAACCAAAGAGCACCTGAGGCTACCGGAAACTGGAGGAGGCCAAGAAGGGTTTTCCCAAGAGCCTTCAGAGAGTACGGGCTTGCTGATACCTTGATTCCAGACTCCTGAGCGCCAGAGTTATGAGACAACAACATATTTAAGGCATTTCAAGACACCTAATTTGTGGTCCTTTGTTCAGTAGCCACAGGAAATGCCTATAATCTGTAAAATGTTAATCTAGACCTGATACATAGCAAGCACTCAATGCAATGTAATGACTATTCCCATAATTGCCATCATTACAACATCATCTTCATTATCATCATCATTATCAAATTGCTATTAAGTGTCATCGAGTTGGTTCCAACTCATAGCAACCCTATATAGGGTTTCTGATGTGCAGCTGGTGAGCTTGAACCACCAACCTTGTAGCACAAAATGACTTTGCAGTCCTGTATTTATCCTACAGTGCCACACTAAATAGCCACTGAAACAACTTCACAACTAAGGTTCCCAAGTTGGTCATCTGGTGATTAGTGTGTGTTTTCTGGTATCGGCAGGAGGGAAGGAGGGGAGAATGAGCATCTAAAAGTCCAGCCCAGCTACAAGGGTGCCTTTGTTCATAGCACTCAGCCCAGGTCTGGAGTGGCGCTGTGGGCTAATGCGTCAGACTGCAAAGTCGTGTGAACTGCAAAGTTGGTGGTTCAAGCTCACCAGCTGCTCCTTGGAAACCCTATACTGGGTTGCTATGGGTCAGAATTGACTCTACTCGATTGTACTGAATAACATCAAACACTTCTGCCAGGGAAGAGTGATGGTTTCTGAACCAGGATGGCGAATCTTTTAACTGAAAGGGAAATTTTCCAAAAACAGGGAATGTCCAGTGTCATGCCTTACAGGCAAACGTTAGATCCTCCTCTGGAGGAATCCAGGAGCATATTACTTAAAAGGCTCAAAGCAAAAGGAAAAGCTGAAGAGGGGGGCTGTGATTCTTACATCATACACAGTCTTCAGGTCGGAGCCTTAGCGTGCCATCTCCTGTTTACACAGTACAGTCGCACAGAACCCATTGGGTTACTGTTTCTTATGATACCTATAGAGTTCAGAGCATGAACCACAAGGTACACTCTCATAGCCTGCTTTCATTCCCAACAGCACTTGCAAGATGAAGCATTGTAAATGTGTTCAATTGGACTCTTCATTGACCTGCTGAGGAACTCTTTCAAAGACTCTGCACACAAGTTCCCAGCCTTTCACAGGCCCACATTTCACTTGGTATTTTCTCTACTATCTTCCTATCAGCTTTGCTTTTTGAGGATGAATATTCCATGGGAGGCCAGAAGAATGAACAAATCAGTCTTGCAGGATATATAGCCAGATTTCTCCTTAGAGGCAAGCATGGCAAGTCTCCATCTCACTTACTATGGGCATGCCATCAGGAGCCATCAGCAGTTGGGGAAGGATGCCGTGTTTGATCAGAAGATCAGCAAAATGAGATGGATTGGCAAAGTGGATGCAGCAATGGGTTCAAACCTACTAACCAAAGGATTGTGCAGCATCCAACAAAAGTCCCTTCTGTTATACATACGGTCATAATAATGTGTCCAACGTCCTATCATAAACATACACCTCTTGGATCAACATCTTCTCCCATTGCCATCCTTAATGCAGAAGGCAGAGAAAGGGGTCTAGGGCACGGATTGGAGTTGGGGAATTTGGACATCAGCAATGCAGAAGTGTGCTTTACAAGGACTCTTTATTTAAGTGCCATGAATCATGAATCATATTATGATGACCATTTCTAGGGTTTCTGAGAAGTGGCTGGTGTGTTTGAACTGCAGACCTTGCGGTCCAGTCCATCATCCTACAGCACCACACCAGGACTCCTTTTCAAGGACTTGTTAAATGCTGTTGAGTCAGTTCCGACCCATAGTGACACTGTGTAGGGTTTCCAAGGAGTGACTGGTGAGCTTGAACAGCCAACCTTGCAGTTCAAACCGACTTTGCAGTCCAGTGCATTAACACACAGCACTGAACCAGGACAAGCTCTGTTGTTATTTGCTGTGGAGTCGGTTCTGACTCATAGCGACCCTGTACAGGGTTTCCGAGGCTGTAAATCTTTACGGGAGCAGACCGCCTCATCTTTCTCCCGTGGAGCAGCTGGTAGTTTCGAATTGGTGACCTTGCGGTTCACAGCCCAATTTGTAACCACTGTGCTACCAGAGGTCCTCAGGGCAAGGACAAGGACTAGGAGCAATTAAAACCCTGTATGACCACCAAGTGTGACAGAAAATGGGAAAAGTGAAAGCCTGGCTTCCACCAGAAAAGGAGAATGTAAAATGCAGCTATTTCATGACCGAGGCGCTCTGAAAGCTATAATGATGAAGAGAAACCAGAGGTTATAGCAGACAGAAAAGTAGATATTAGTTTGCAGAATAGTAGTATGTTATTGTTTAGAAGGATGTTTTTTTAATAGGTACAGTCTACGGACATTGTGGTAAGAAAGCTACATTCCTGTTAGCTGTTTCATTACCTCAGGTGCACTCAGGTGAAGGAAACATTGGAGAGTGTCCAGAGAGAAGCAAGCAGCCTGATGAAGGGATTGTAGTAGATGTCATAAAGGAATAGATTGCATTCTTCCCAGGACGGGATGGTTGAGCAGGGTACAGATGTTTGGGAGCAGTTCACAAATCAGTAGAGAAAATGTTTGTAGCCTCACCACACTATTGTTGTTAAGTGCCGTCGAGTTGGTTCTGACCCATAGCAATCCTGTATAGGTTTCCCGAGGAGCTGCTGGTGAGCTTGCGCCGCAGACCTTGCAGTTCAAAACGACTTTGCAGACCAGTGCATTAACCCACAGCACCATACCAGGAGTCCTAGCCTTACAATATTGGGTCTTAATTATCTCTAATCTAATGAAAATAAGGAAATTGTTATTAGGGTTACAATCCAAGAAATCCTAGACCACAGATTCCATTGTGGAAAACAGCTGGCTTTTCCTTTTACCTGAGCTGCTTTTCCCCTTTAGCCTGTAAAGAGCAGCTTCCTTCAACCATTCAGATCTCAGCTCCAGCGTCGTTTGCTCAGAGAAGATTTGACTTCTTTAATCTATCACTTTCTTCTGCCACAATCCCCCAGTCATCGTAAACCTGTGTTCTTACTTTATTGATTTCATAGAGCAATCTGAAATCCTCTTCTCCGCTGAATTATTTGCTGATAGATTGTCTGACTCTCTTGCTAAAACGTTTGCTCCATAACTTTATGAGTCTTGTCTGTTGTATTCACCACTAGATGGTGGTGGAGATAGTGGTGTGTCACCCAGTCAGGGCTCATAGAGACCCTGTATCAGGTTCCCAAGGCTATAAATCCGACGGGAGTAGGACATCTCATCTTCTTCACATGGAGTGACTGGTAGAGTCGAACAGCTGACCTTGCGGTTAACAGTCCAGCTCATAACCCACTACACTATCAGGGGTCCTATCACTGGATACCCAATTCTAATTATCCCAGTAGCTGCCCACACCCTTAATGCATTTCAGTTATGGCAAGCAGTATCCTGGTGGTGGTGGTGGTGGTGGTGTGCCGTGGAGTCAGTTGACTCATAGCAATCCTGTATAGGGTTTCTGAAGCTATAAATCTTTAAGGGAGAAGAAAGGCTCATCTTTCTCCCATGGAACAGCTGGTAGTTTCAACCTGCTGACCTTAAGGTAAGCAGCCCAACTCGTAACTACTACACTACCAGAGCTCCTTAAGCACTATTCTAAGCCCATTTGTACATGAACTTACCTAGTACACATGCCAACCTAGATTTTTATGACTTTAGAGGAAGAAACTTGAGACTCAGAGCAGTTGGGTGTCATGTCCACAATTTCACAGCTGTAGATGGTAGGCTTTGGATATAAATCCAGATTCTCTAGCTTTAGAGTCAATATTCTTAAGCCTGCATTATATTATATACTGCAACTATGGTAGTGCATACTCAATAAATGTATATCGAATAAATGAATGAATCTTTGAATGAGGATTTAAATCCACATCATCTGCCTACAGCAGTTTTGAGTTTGTCCCAGTAGTGATTACCTGTGTGGTGCTGAAGACACTCTCCATGCCCTGGGCGGCCAGGAAGGCCTCCCTGCCAGACTGGAGGGTGGTGATGTGCTTGAGGCAGAGCAGCAGCGCCTGGCGGATGTGCACATGATTGTTGACTGTGTCATGGTTGTGCCAGTCCTGGTGCAGCCTGAGCAAGCTGGCGACATAGCCTCGGTTCACTGCCCTGCGGCTGTTGGACTCTGAAAGGAAAAGGCAATGTTAATCACAGACTCTCTAGGGCCACCGCTGCCTGAAAGCACTGCAAAGGATCTGCCACAAGTTTCTTATTAATTCTAAAGAAAAAAATAATAGCATCCTCTTGAAACACCTGACTGATATTACCTTAACCAAGTGATCAAAGTTAATGCACCAGGAACAGGACCAACCATCAGCCTATGTTTCCTGATACAATGTACAAAGAGGAAACAGCATCACTTCTAAAGGACTCCTGCCCAAACAAATAACCCCAATTTCTTTATGATGAAAATAAGCAAGCCCAAACATATCAGATCTGTATTAAAAAATGGCAGGTCATGAAACAAACAAACAAATAAAATCCTAATAACTGAAACTAAAGACTAAAAAGACCTGATAGCTATAAATAATTTTGTATCTGATTATGGACCAGAAAAATTATTTTCTACATTACTACAAAAGCCATCAGTGAAATTATTGGTGAAATTTAAATATAACTTGTAGGGGTTTTTTTAATAGTATATTAGTATTAATTTTATGGTTTTAATAATTAACCTGTAATTATATAAAAGAGTAACCTTGTTTCTAGGAAATTTCACTGAAGTATGTAAATGTAACTTATTTTTAAATGGTTCAGAAAAATAAAAAATTGTGAGTGGTCGGGGAGGGAAATGATTTTTTAAATGTCAATATTTGAGGACTCTGGATTGGGTGTACAAGGATTCTTGGTATCTCTTTTGCAACTTTTCTTATCACAATGCTGTATGTGAACAATGATGAGGATGGCTCAAGACCAGGCAGTATCTCTTTCTGTTGTGCACAGGGTGCATAGGGTTATTTTGAGCTGGAGCAGACTTGACTGTTCCTAACGTAGTGGTTACGAGTTGGGCTGCTAATCTCACTGTCAGCAGTTCGAAACTACCAGCTGTTCTGTGGGAGAACGACGAGGCTTTCTGCTCTCGTAAAGCTTTACAGTCTCGGAAACCCTATGCAGGGTCGCTATGAGTCAGAACCGACTCCACGGCACATAAAAACAACAACAACAGCAACAACATTTGTGAAGTTATTTTAAAATAGTTTAAACAAAAATAAAAAATGAAGTCACACACTCTGGCCCCTCCCTCACTAGGATATCCTCAATATTTCAGGGGTCTCTGTGCATTGTGAGAGTACTGATTTTTCTGTGTCCAAACCTTTCATACCGTTTCATCAGTGACATCTAGTGTCCTGTGCTCTGTGACTGACACCTTTGACTTGTTAACAAACCCAAAATTGAAATGAAGAGTTAATGAAAAACATATTCCCTGGTCCTAACCCCACCATATTCTCCCACGATTTCTCTCTTCATTCCCCTCAACAAGTTTCCATGTTTCTTTCCTGAACCACCTGCACCTAGAATAGTGTCATTTGAATTGACAAACTCTAAGGTTTAGGTTGGGAGGAGAGGATGCTGAGAGACACTTACTGTGCCAAAGGCTGGCATGTGTAGAAGACATGTTGCTTAGGATGTTTTCTCTAAAGGGAATGGAGGATTGTTCATGGATAAGAAGAATTCAGAAAGGAAAGTCCTCATAGTCCAAGAAAGGAAGTCCTCTCCTTGTAATCAAAGCTATTCAACACCATAATGGACTCTACATCATAATGAACCCCCAAGCACTGAGAACATTCAGGTTAAGGAGGCGAGTCTCCATAGGGATGCCACATGCGGATGCCTCACATCTGGTGAGAAGCTGTAACCGAGGGCTTTTAGGACCCCCTACCTCTCTTTGGGAGTCCCTGAGGTAACACATGATTGATGCACTTGATCGCTAACTAAAAATTGGAAGGTACACATCTACCCAAAGATACCTAGAAAGAAAAAATCTAATTTCTGAAAAATTAGTCATTGAATTATGTTATGTCAATCGTCGTTAATGTTCCCCAAAATTACGGGCCTAAATCTAAATACCCAGTAACTCATTTCTTCAACATGTTTGGCTATGGCTAAGAAGTTTTCATAATTTTGCCCCCAGATTACTCCACTACATTTATGAATATATTTCCAGCATAAAAAAATGCATATGTAGAAATAACTTTTGTCAAAACTACACACAGGCAAACTCATAGGTGCATAGGTGCAGCCCTATTCACATTCCCTCCCCTGTTAAGCTTAAGTGTCTAGGTCTCCACTCACAGAGTATTATTGCAGATTGGCCATGTACTCTTATTATCTTTGTTGTCTTTAAGTCTTGTGCTTCCCCAGCATTTGCATGTGCCTTGATCATTATGTGCTGACCTCCTTCTTGTAGCATCTTTCCCTTCACCCAAGTTAATATGTGCTTAAGGACTCATGGTGTGGCGCTGTGGTTAATGCGTAAGACTGCAAAGCTGTTTGAACTGCAAGGTCAGCAGTTCATGCTCACCAGCTGCTCCTCAGAAACCTTCTACAGGGTTGCTATGGGTCGGAACCGACTCAATGGCACTTAACAATAAAAACAACAACCCCTTTCATTTAGAGACTTGCCTTCTTTTCCTCTGCCTTCGCCCAAATCTTCAAAAATGTTTCTTTCTTTGTGTAAACCTTTTCTTTATTTTTTACAATAGTGGTCACCTTCAATGGATGTTGTCCTTTCGTGATTGATTTCATTCAGCTTTACTGGTCTTCAGATTCATCCATGTTGTGAGGTGCTTTACAAATTCATAGTTGTTCATGGTATAACATAATCCACCAAGACAATGTTCTACATACTGTTTTGGTGAGTAGTAACTGAGGTCTTAAAAATTTGTAGGTAGATGTCTAAGATTCAACTATTGGTCTTTCCTCTTCCTGAGCAGTGAAGAGTGAAGAAAATCAAAGACACAGGAAATAACTATTTCAGAGGACTAATGAACCATGTGAGCCCCCAGTATCCCTGATGTTGAGACCACAAGAACTAGATGATGCCCACTATTGACTGCTGTGAAAGGGACCACAAACAGAAGGTCCTGGGTGGAGTGGGAGAAAAACATGGGACAGAACTCAAAATCATGAAGTAAAAAAAATATATATATATACCAGGATTCCTGGTCTGATAAAGACCAGTGGACCCCTGATCTTAGATACCCCTTATCCACCTCTCAGACCTGAAACTGAACTCACTCCCGTGACTCAACTTTTAGCCAAACAACGTTGTAATTAAGTTCCGTCAAGTTAGTTACGACTCATAGCGTAACTATGTATAGGGTTTTTAGGTGCAGCTGTGGGTTTGAACCAGCAATCTTGTGGTTACCAGTCCAATGCTAATCCTACAATATCACAACTGAACACCAGTCAAGAAATAAACCTATAAAGTAAACAATAGTAATGTTTTTGTTGTTAAGTGCTGTCAAGTCCTCAATAACAATGGTGGTGGTGGTGATTGTGTGTCGCGGAGTCAGTTACAACTCGTAGCAACCCTTATGGGGTTTCTGAGGCTGTAAATCTTTATGAGAGCAGAAAACCTCATCTTTCTCCCACAGAATGGCTGATAATCTTGAACTGCTGACCTTGGGGTTAGCAACCCAACTCTTTTATTTATTTATTTTTTAATGTTTTATTGTGAATTCTGTGATAGTTTACATGGGAGAACATTAGTTTTACATTCATCCTATCGCATATTGTTTCATTTGCCATGGTTACAATCCCTTCCATGCATCATCAGCCAACCACAGGGTATACCCTGCAAGCCTGACCCCCGATCGTCAGCACACAACCCCTCTCCCTCTCTGGGTCCAAAGTCCCCAGCCGCTCCATCTCTCCATGTCATCACCTCCGCCTCCATCTCTGGTATCACTGCTTCTTCGGGCAGGGGCACACTCTACATTCTCCTCCCTTGGTGGTCCCAGGGACCTCTGCTCCTAGACTGCAAAGTTAATAACGCCCCTCCTTTTGCTATAAAACATCTACCTTTACCTTTCCAACCCTCACAGTCAGTCCTGATAACAATTAGTCAGCATTGTAACACAAGAGACCTATCCACATCTCCTTTCATCAACCCCGCCTTAAGACAGACTGGATGCTACTCAGTGGAGATTCTAACTTCCTTTGAGCCCTCTGGATCTAGGTTCCCTCTTGAAAGCTTGTAAACCAGTCACTTCTTGCCTTTGTAGCCCCCAACCCCCCCATTTTGGGTAGCCAATGTCCAAGTTGCCCTTCCCTGTCTAATCTGTGTATGGAGGGGATGGGAATGATCCTTGCTGTAAAGATTTGTTCCTTCTTTTGAGCTACTGCATCCACAGGTGTAGGTCAATTTCATCAAATTGTATCAGATTACTCTTTTCTTCCTTTTCCATTGTCTTCTAGTTGAGCTCTGATCATCCAGTCATTGAAGCAGGTCAAGTGAGTATTATCTGCAAGTGTGGGTATTCTTCTATGTATGCCCTCTTTTCTTATCAGCTGGATGCTTCATTCTCCACTCATCTTCTGTGGCTATGTCACTGACTCTGGGCCCAAGAGTCCCCAGGTCTTGCCACACTGCTGGCCAACCAGGTCTCCATCCGAGTTCACAGGAGTCTATTGAACATTGTAGGGCTTAGTTTGCTGCTTCATTGCTGTTTTTCCTTTACTTCCCCTTATCAGTGACCAACATGGTCACCAATCAGAGCATGTATTCCCATTGAGTCTTAGTCTTAGAAGGAGGCTTGCACTGAGGGGACTCAACTACTTGCCTTGATGTCTCCTGGGTGAGCAACTTGCTTGCTCTTGTAGTAATCAGTCAGTCTGCCTCTATTGTTTTGTATGTTTCCTGTAGGTCTTTCTTTCAAGAAGTATCTTTTGTTCTTCTAGCTGCTCTAGGCTGGTCTGCTTGTCCTTTCAGGTGGAAATTTCCCACCTGAGAAAATTCTGGATGGGGTTCAGGATTCCACCTATGGTCTTATGTAATGAAGAAGCTCCACAGGAAGCCTCCTTCACTGGACACGTTGTAGCTCCATTTTAGGTATTCTAATCAGCTATAGGCAGAAGATGGTCTTACAAGCTTTCTACGGTGATATTTCTGGATATTCCTTT